TCTACCTGATGTCACGGACCGTTGAATTTCATATCAATATTTTAATTTAGGGGGGTTATTTACATGAAGCTTTTGCGACATTTTCAAAATATGCTCCGTTTTTTATTATTTTTTTCTTGAATAGTGTTACGGAGTTTAAGAGTACAGGTCTCATGTTTCTTTTAAACTCTTAGTTTTTGAAAATTTTAAAAGTTCAACATTTGAGTACTTTTAGCGTAATTTTGCGTGAAAGTATACGTGTTATTTTAGCACTACTAGTTTATATTCTCAATAACCATAACAAACCCCAGTTTGTTTTTGAACATTTGTTGATGGTTAAAACATGGGACGCATAAAGGAATGACATAGGTACCTTTGTCGAACGCTTTTAATTTTCGAAAATTTGGTGTTGGAGATTGAAGAGACGAGTTGATGTTTATGCTTCTGCAGAGTGACTGAATGGTGTAGCGGTAAAGCGCCCTATTCATTAGCTCAGTAGTACTGAGTTCGAGTGTGAGAGCAAAACAAACAATAAATAAATAATAAATAAACAAAATTTGCTGCCTGGAAACACTTTTGCAGGTTCATGTGGTAGTATAATATTGCGTAGCCGTCAAAAAGTGTGTGAATATGTGCTGTTAGTTACAGCTCATGTTTTCTATTGTCCGTTGAGTCCTGCATTACTGTTTGTCTGTGCATTTATACAGTTTTCTTTTATGTACATCTATCCGTAAGCTGAAACCTAAGTGTCTGAGGGTCGATTTTATGCTGTACTCTCTTCCTACAATGCGTAAACTGTATGCCCTCGACGATTCAAAACAGAAGAATAGTTCTCTTTGTGGATGATATGAACATTCTGTGCAATATAGAAACAGTATAGTGCAATATCAGACTCAAATTGGTTTCAAAATAGTAAACAAAAGGAAAACAGTTTGAATTGAGTTTTCTATTTTAAATAAAGAATTGTACACTCCATTGAAAATGAACGATGTGCTGTTCACTGACGTGTTTTGGGTCTCTCAATGCAGTCAATCCGCGAATGCAACGCCCGTTTAAATGAATTGAACACAAAATTTAGTTCATTATGCCACGTGTTAAGAGCATTCTTTCAAATTCATTCAGCCTTTATAATGTTCGTTGTTTATTTCGCGTATGTTCCTCCCCACTTGAGATTCGGCAAATTATTTTGGGGAAAGTCATCATTCTGCCTCGAGACATTTAAATTACACAAACGAATGGTACGAATTATAAGCAAATCCCACCTACGTCATTCTTGTAAGCCTCTCTATTCCTTGCCTTTTTATTTACGAATCTGTCAAAAACAACTAACATTTTCAAAACACACAGTGTAAAACTGTAGAACTCGACGTAACAAATTCTTCAAGTGTCAATATCAGCAGCTCACCACAAATAATTCTCATAAAAAACGTACATTATTTTACATCGTATTGCCGGTTGACATTAAACGTTTAAAATCAAGAAACAAGTTTAAGTGCCAAGATAAATCTTTTCTACTGATTAATATATACAATTAGAGAGTATTCCGAGCCTAAGAAAGAAAAGTAATATTGACTTTACTATTGATATTTAAGGTATTAGATACCATTTGGACTGTATAATTCTGAAATGCTAAATGTACCTGTAACGTGTATTTACCTCAGCTTCTTGGTCAATGAACTCCTGGATCATAATTGTGTGCAGTTTACGTGATTCTTTGAGCGAATGCTGAGATGGTCCCTTTTTTGCTTCTGGACATAAATTTATCCTCACTGTCTTTGCACGCTTTCTAGAGGTCGGTGGAGAATGTAGTTGTTCAAATTATTTATCGTTCTTAATGTTCATGCCGCAGTAAATCCATTTCTTCGACAATTAAAACCATTTTTAGAAAGAACCAGAATTGGATGGTTTCTTTACATGTCAATAAAGTATGTACAATTGTATTTGCCGAATGTTCGAGTAGAACAAATTGCAAATAAAGCAGATGTTAGAAAAAAAAATTTCTTCGACAAGGACGCGAGGAGGGTAATAGCCAAAATGTATAGATGATTAGTTTTAGCACACACTTTTTACTTTCTCGCCCTTTCGAAGCTATTTCTTAAGAAGAGAAAGTGATATAATCGTGCGCCGAAAAACGGCGAATTTTCAGTAGAAAAACTCTTAGGGACGGGCCCTGGTAACGAAAAAGTGGATGTATTCTCTTGCTAAATACAGGTGGGGCATAAGTAGGTATTATTATTATTATTATTATTATTATTATTATTATTATTATAGAAAATAGTTTGATAAATAAATGACTAGGAAAACTGAATTTATTTTAGAATTGTATCTATTATATGAATTATCACAAGATCTGAACTGAAGCCACGAAGATATTTATTTTAGATAATATATTTATGAAGACACAATAGGGATAACATACAAATTGTAATTAATTGCAATCGTCTCAAGTACTCAAATTGTCGGCCTTCAGTATTTACACATTCCTGCAGTCTGGTTTGTACACTGAAGCACACTTTGACACGGAGTTCTTCATTATTATTATTATTATTATTATTATTATTATTATTATTATTATTATTATTATTATTAATAATGTCTTGGTATGTCTCTTATGAATTGACACATATCATGAACAGTGGCGCGGTTTTCCTGCAAAAACTTTATCTTTGATAACGCCCCAAAAGAAAAAGTTCATGAGAGTGAGGTCCGATGATTGAGATGGCCTTTGAATTGGACCTCGTCGACCTATCCAACTATTGGGTAATTCGTTGTCAAGAAACTCACGCACTGTTAAAGCATATGGGGGGTCCAAGGAATAGGTTCCAACCATCTTGCTGGAAGTAGAACTGTTCATTTCCCTGCTGTAGACAAAATTGTGGAATCCCAGTATCCTTCAGCATGTCAAGATAGGTGTTGTGGGTAACAGTTGTGTAGAAAAAAACAGGCACAATGTCTCCTTGACATGAAAGGCTTGTCCAAACTTGAACCACAGATTGATTCAGTTGTTTTTCAATTACAACATCGGGGTGTTCTATGCCATAGTAGTCACAGTTATGCCTTGAACAGCGCCTGACAGCTTAAAAATTCTTTTCGACATTCCAAAAATGTTATGTCACCTTCTCTCTCGCTATTCAGAAGAATTGCGCATAATTCTAAACGTAGATCTCTCCTCTTGGATTTATTTGAGCTTTGGGTAAATTATTGAGCTACTACCAATTCATTTTCATGCGTAGTAGCATAGTAGCACTCACTGGTTGACCACTCTTTGCCGCATTTCAGATAGATCCACCCCCCTTTTTTTTGTTTCTTTGCAACCTATAAATTGATAGTATATTTGCCGAAGGTGTAATGAATTCTTCTGTTGTCTGAACATGTCCGTCGAACATGTTCAGTATTCTCCAGTATTGTTTAATTATCCATTTCCGTTTGTCATTGTTTAAATTACCAACCATGAATAATATCTGAAAGAATAGAAAAACGGTGTTAGAACAAAAATATAGTACACTTTCTAAAAATCTACTCATGCACACCCCCGTATAAAAAAATAAAATCATCTAGCACATGTAGCCAGAATCCATGTTTTGTGGGATTTTTTTATACCGTTGGATCGATTGACGGCAAAACTATACCTGTCCATCTGTGGTCAAGCCTAGCGCCTAAACCGTTCAGCCATCTTCTTCAAAAATGATATATCCCGAATGATCTGACTGAACTCTAAGCTTTAAGAGTTTCAAACATATTTAGATTTTTGAGGGTTCATTACATGAAGCTTCAAAAACTTTCAAATTTTTGAAAGTGTTTTTGAGGGTTTAAATTTTGTGTTGAAACCGTGTCCTCTGATAATGTAAACGACACTTCAGAGAGTGATGCAGGTCTCAGGTTTGTCGAAATCTCAGGTTTTTTTGAAAATTGAAAAAGTGCAGTTTTTTGGAGCGTCTTCCTACAAGTATAGTATTGAAGATATTTTTCCGTAAGGAAATCTGATCCTTTAAGACTATTCTTTAAATACATTCGTGTTAAATTTTTCGAAAATGAGTAGTTTTCGTGTAATGTGGCGCAAAATATAGGCAATTTAGAAAAGTAAAAAGTTTTGTTCTCAAAAATAGCTCTAATTTTTTTCCCACGGATAGAAGAAAGGATGCTTAAAATAATGACGCGATTCTAATTTTTTTAACTCTCTGAATTTTCGAAAATTGCATTTAGAAATAATGCGAGAAAGTATGTGCTGTTTAAGTACTAGTTGTATTGAGCGAATATTTTCTTATCAATTCTTTCCAAACAGCTGGTTTCCACCTGCATGTATAACTCCATTTGTGTTTGGGCTAGAGTATTGATCCCAGAATTTAAGAAAACGTGCGTAGAATACACTTATCCCAGTAGTACGTCATTTTTTTAAAACTTTTTTTTGCCTTAAATGTGTGATTTTTTTTCTAGTAATATAGTTTGTTGTATTTCAAATGCTAAGGGTTATAAAACACCTAGAATGTTATTAACTGTCATACCAGCTGAAGTTATTAGTGCATGAGGGAATAATTAAGGGAAATCAAGAAATTATATTCTTCAGTTTTGAAGAGTGGGTGACATTTGGGCATTGGAATAACAATGTGATCCCTGCATTACCAAGGTGGGAGGAAGACTTCGAATCCCTCCGCTTAAATTTTGATTTTATTGATGTTTATTACTATTTTGATAAATGATTTTCAGCTTAAACACGCAAAGCATCTGTGGGTCTTTGAGCGCCCCCCCCCCCAACTTTGGTGATGCTTGGGTTGATAAAATGGGATGTAGCACTTCCATTTATTTGGTGTGCCATTATTACATTTGTAATAAGGATTGTTGTGTTTTCAGAACTACAGCTATGGCAATCATGTGTATAAAATTGGTATGTCAATATAGCTAATAGCAACAGCAGTAGCGACGTTTAGGTTTGGAAATGCTAAGCTTGATGACAATTCAGATTTGAATGCTTTTTTCACGTGTCAGGAAATGTTTAATGTTTTATTTCATTTTTCTGATTTCAGAAGAAGTACTCTCGTGGGCAAAACCAGCATTGAAGTCCTGCAGGAGCGACTCGAAGAATTGGAGATGGACGACACACAACGAAAGCGGATGGAATTTTTTCTGTGTCAGAAGGAAAAAGTTGGTGATCTTAGTGATGACGACTTTGAGAAACTGGGAGAATTAGGGGCAGGAAATGGTGGTGTTGTCATGAAAGTCAGACATCGGTCTAGTGGGCTTATAATGGCGAGAAAGGTGTGTGATCCTCATGCTTTGTATTTACATATTTCGGAACTAAGTTGTAAGGTGCATATTTGAATAAGGCAATAGCTTCAAAGAAATGATGGGAATAAAAAAAATATTTATTACATAATGTCTATGAACGTTCCACTATCAAAAATGTATTTCACAAATAAATTGAGAATCGCAGCACGTGAAGAGTTTAGGCTCCTCCTGTACCGTGTTCAGACAGGGTTACCGAATTACGAGAACATTACTAAAGTAATATATTTCTTTTATTATTATTATTATTATTATTATTATTATTATTATTATTATTATTATTACTAGAATTCTCAAAGAAGTAACCCTCTATTCGCACAACACATTTGAAGCACATCTCTTGGAAGCTGTGCTTCAGCATGTAGAATCACATGCTGAGAAGTGAACGAAACAGGCAAGGCCACTGGCTGGCGATATTAAGTTCTAGCGTATGAAAAGTTATGATGTAACTACGTGACCATTAGCATATGAAGCGTGTATTGTTTTTGCATATTTCCTTCTAAATCGAATTGTTTCAGTTTGTGGTGTCATCGGGAGAGGTAGCTTAGGGTATCAACTGATGTCACGGTAGTGCATCTGATTGCGAGCTCCCAGATTCGACTCTCGACGGTGGCAGGATTTTTTACATTAGCTTATCAGCTAGGCCGGATTAAGTCGCTGTCTTGAGAATTTTAGCGGCCGGCTGCTCTGTTCGGGTAGTTTTATGTGGTTTCTCCAACAACATCAGGCGAATGCCGGAGCAGTACCGTAACAAAAAGCCACGGACCGTGCGCGATTTTTCCTTTCTCGTCCTGTCATCACCCTCTTACTTACACACACACTACATCATGCATTACAGTACCACACATGCCGGGATGCCGGTCGGGAGCTTAAAGTTTGTCTCGACTGGGGTGGTGCTCCGCTGGTGGAAAATATCTGGTTGGGGAAAACCCCGCTAGCCGGCGGGATGTCGGTACCGGTTCTCGACATCCGTCGGGGGAAGATCATCGCCACCTACCGAGGAAACTTGCGTTCATAGACGGACGGTCGGCCATGCGTACTGAGAGACGAGGAGGAAATTTCTCTTACTGTCGAACAATTGCCTTTTTCCTCAGGACGACTGCATGCTAGCAATCTTTATTTCAAATAGGTTTTAAATAATTTCTAAAATATGAATATTTGCGTTTAATATTTCTAAAATATTAAATGTATCCCCAAAGCTGTAACAAACGAACACAGAATTATGAAATACTATACATGTTCTAACTTAGGTAGCATCCAACTGCCTTACAACACTCAATTACTCCAAAAATACTCAGTTTCGAAAACTTCAGTGATCTTATTTGAAAATCTGTCTTGAACACATTTCACTAAGAAAAAATATCTTCGTTATAGTAGACGCTGAAACAAATTTGAATTTTTTCAATTTTCGAAAAATGAGGGTTTTCAACCAACGTTAGATCTACACTATTCTATTAAATATCCTTCATACTATCCACCAACATAAAAAAGAATCGAGCAGTGTTTTAGAAAAAAATATATAAACAAAAATTCAAAATGACCTATATTTCACCCGAAACATACTAAAAATTTCCGAAAAATTGTACATGAACCTATTTCAAAATCTATCTTTGATATTTTCGAAAAATCAGGGCTTTTAACAAACATGAGACCTGTGCCATTCTCTTAGACGTCCTTTAGAGTATCCACTGACAAAATTTAATCAAAATCGCGTCATTTTTTTGAAAATGTACCGCGGGCTTTATCTAAATTACCCCCAACATTAAAATATCCATTTAAAATTCAATGGGCCGCAACATCAGCTAGATCGATCGCGGCCGATCTCTTTGGGAAAATCGACTGAACGGTTTAGTCGTTAGCGTTGTTCACAGACGGGCGCTTGACTGAAGCACTGTTCTCATACATTGATGATGCTGCAATAGTATGTTGATTATTGAATGGCAATAAACTGCGCTCGCGGACAGTCTTGGAGAAATTTGAATTACTTGTCCGAGATAACGTTTATGTAATATCAAGCGTTGAAATTCCGGCCGATATTTCACATTCACAGGGGCTGAATATGCGGCCATCATGCGTTTAATACTTAACGGTACGGCGGGTTGCCTAGCGCGTCTTTTAAGGGGAGGTGAGTCATAAACGCGATTCAACATGTACGCGCGTGGTGATAAACGCCCCCACATTTCCGATTTAATTCAAACCACTCTTTTAAGATGGTATATTCGTGTCAGTCGCTAGTCAATCACTCGTCCATTTATTAGATCTACAGATTAACAATAGCTGTTTGTAAAGTGAAAGGAACATTAACAAAGTGAAAAGAAATAATTATTTGTAAATAGTTGAAAGATAAGTATTGAATAATTGCGTTGGAAAATCAACGTTTACTAATCAATTTACTTGCATTTTTGATTTTCACAAGTTGGCAATACTTAATGTAGGTTAGGTTGACTTCGGCGCCCGTTCGTTTCTTCTTTTTACGTTGAATATCAGTCCACATTGTTTACATTGAAAGAGGATTTGTCGTCAGTTTGTGTTTGTGTGTGGTACAAAATTTTAAGTAAGCGTGGTATCCAAAGAGAACGAGTGGCCACAAGAGCATGATTTCTACAGCATGACTCCAAGGCCGAAAGTTGCCGAGAGCCTGTACTTCCGATGCGATGAATTTTGCAGCATTTTTTTTTATCAATTACTCCTCAGAATGGTGAGATACGTTACATTTAATATCGTCTGATTCCTAAAAAAATTAGGTATTGAATGAAAGGAAAAAGTATTTTCACAGAATAAATTACTCTATAATTTTAAAAATCCTATGCTCGCGAAAGTTTCTCCTTAAGAGCCTGTACTGATATAAACATATTGCATTCACAAATTAGACCGGGAAGGGCCAATTTTTTTTCTTACCATCTCGAAGAACACAGATTTTGCTTTCATATAGAGTATTTTTTGGGGGTACTTCACCGTGGTTGATCAAACGAACTTACTACTCTCGATACTAATAAGAACAATGTGTGAAAATATCGGCGGAATTGGTCGAGAGATGATGTGCATATACGCGACAGACATACGCTCATGTGCTTTTATGTGTATATAGATACAGAGTGAAAACTTGATATAAGGTATTTGAATGTTTACTATTATTTGTTCTTTAGCTCATCCATTTAGAAGTAAAGCCTGCTATCAAGAAGCAAATAATCCGAGAACTGAAAGTCCTCCATGAGTGTAATTTTGCTCATATTGTTGGATTTTACGGTGCATTTTATAGGTGAGTATTCTCTACTAATTTTTAATACTTATTTTATGGTATTTCACTTCGCATCTTGTAGGAATCACTATGAATTCGCAGAAAAGGTATATATTATAACTTTTGCAAAAGTATTATCAGTTACCCCTTCATAATACACTTTCTTCAAAACAATTTATATAATATTCCTTACGTAGGCATTAATTTAGAACAGCTTTGAACTGCTACTTTTAACATGACCTCTCTGATTTCTAAGATCATTAATTCAAAATTGTAAAGTCCGCTCATAGAAATAATCATGTGGGTCCCGATTAATATTTGTTTTTTACATTCAAATTAATAATATTGATTTGAATGATCTTTCTCTTTCATTTTATCACAATGTGACGCAATTTTACTTATGCTATTTACAGGAAATAACTAACAGGGTTTGCTACTTCATTGCATTTTACCTACCTATCTGAAAATCGATATTTAAATGTTTCCGGAGACACAAAGGAGGATCAAGCCCAGTTCAAACGAGTGTTTTTGCGGCTGGCCAGCGTCCTTGCACAGACCACACGGAGCGACCAAGTGACGCTGATTTTCCCTGTTCCGGATCATGGAAGCTTCAGAAACGGAAACTCAGTTTAGAGTCTCTGAGCTTTCAGGCTGCCTCTGTAATTGGAATCCAACGTTCAATGATTGAAGATTCTGTTGAGTGCATGGGGACGTTTCACACGTAGCCCACTGAAGTTGAACGAGCAAGTAGTGAGCTGAACATTCCACAACCGACCGTTTGGAAGATCGTACGAAAATGAATGAAATATAAGCCTTACCGCTTGCTCTTCCTGCAAGTCCTAGCATTCGATGACAAGGTCTGACGCTTTGAATTTTCTTCCCAGTTACAACAGCTTATGGAAGAGAATGGCTTTTATGAGAAACTTATCTTCAGGGATACTTCTTTATGAAAGGCAGTGTGAACGGTCACAGTGTGCGAATCTGAGAGTTGAGAATCCTCACGCTATCGTGCAGCACGTCTGCAATACTCTAAAAGTTAGTGTGTTCGTGCAGTCTAACAGTTTAATGTTTACACCTATTTCTTCTACAAAAAGACCGTTACAGGACACGTATCTTGACACGTAGCGAGAAAATTAGCGCATGCCATAGCTGGAGATGGACAGTGTGGACTTCATCTACAATCAGGATGGGGCTCTTCCATCACGATGTTCGTAAATTCTGAACCAGAAGATCGAAGGATTGATCGTGGGATGAGTAATTTCTAACATGGCCTCCTCACACACCACAATCACATGTGATCTTTTTGTATGATGTTATGTAAGAGATTGTTTTTACGCCTCCTTTTCCAATAAGCCGACCAAAACAGCGTGCTCGTGTCGACAGAGCTTTTGAACAAACGGAAAGGGTTGTGCTGCATCGAGTGTGGGGCGTACTTGACTATTGATTGATTGTAATCATGATGAACTTGAATCTGCAGAATCAATGGAGGGGATATACGGAGCCCTTGCAATATGTAAAATTAGACTTTTTGAGTTATATGTCTGTAAAGCTCTGTGTAAAAAAATATAGCCACAGCAAATATGTGAAATCGGTGAAATCATTTGTAATAACCCTGTATAGTTTTCGCTTATATAGTTAACGAACGTTACTCGAAACCTAGAAAGAGGCGTTTATGGTTACATCCAAACGACACCTAAGACGTGTTTCTGTGATAATGTTCATAAAATTTTTGAATTTCACTACCTTTGAAAATGTTTGTGAGAGGATAAATGCGTTTTAGTTGGATATCCTCTTTTGTAGTTATTCTCCTCATGATGAATAAAAACATTGTCTCGAGTTATCTTTTACCAGCCGAAATGTACAACGTATACCCTTCTCGGTCGAACCGTTCTGCTTTTCTAAGATCCGGAAATGTTTGTAGAAAATGCTGCGAGTCGATCAAGGCAGATACACAATTGATAGTTGAGGCACAGGCTTCTGCAGCCAGAGAGTTACGAGTGCCCTTGGCTTTCCGGATGACGCCGCATCGAAGGCTTTGATGCCGATGGTTGGACCATCTTGTCCCGGTCTTCCTCAGGGCTGGTCTACTCGACGGCACGGTATCACTCGGGCAGCCAAGAGCCATCGACAAGCAGATTGTGTCACACATTCGAAATGATAATGTTCTCACATTTTTAGTACCAATGGTTATTTGGCCTTTAGAAGGTGCGTGTTAGAATTGCGGCTGGTCGCCATGTTGGCTAAAACACGCGTCCAGGCGTCGCGGGATGGAGTTGTGCATTATTAAACCGAGTTCTGGATTAGTCCATACCATACAACTTGCATATCAGCTGGTAGTTTTTGCAGATCGGTAGGTAGGGTGGAGTCCTGATCACACGCTCCAATGCACCCCACACATACTCGGGCTGGGGAAGATCTGGCGATGAAGTACCCATGTCTGAGTAGCCGTAGAAGCAAACTACGCCCTGGAAGTGGCAGCTCTGGCAAGCGATATGTTATTGAAGAATGGTATTGGCGTTCACAAACGCTAGAGGCGCCGCTATGATCTCCTGAACTCCATGCGGCTGTCGTTGTGCCCGGGAGAATCTGTATCTGTGTACGGGCGCTGTAAGATGATTGGTCGTGTGATAAGATTCTACAAATCGCTCTTCGTGGCGCTTCCCGCTGCGCCTCTAAACGGACCCCGTCGGCTTCGCCCCGAAGGTAGGAAAGGGACCCGCCGATAGTCTGTATTGTTCCACGTGCTTGGATTGGACCCACGCGAGTCTAGCGACGCTGCTAACCGTACCACTAGAACAACGCAGAACAGTCAATTCTGAGTGGTACACCAACGATTTTGTTTGCCAGCTGTCTTCCAAGAAATCAAGGAACAACCAACGACGAAGACGGATCACTTTCACCATGGCAATGCGAGCTCTCTCACATCGGCTCAAAACTGCATTTTTTGAGCACCCAACATAGATTAGATGAGTCATCCGCCATAGTCCTGACCTTGGCACCGATGACTTTCTTTATTCCTATAACGTAAAAAAAACAAAACTGAGAGGTCAACGTTTTTTCGACAGACATCCTGAAGAAGCGGTTTGCTGCATTCCAGAATGCATGTTTTTGGAGATAACCGTCAATCAAAGAGTGGCAAATAGTGCTTCGAGCATATTGGCTTCAAAAACGCTATTGCAAACAGTGTATATGATCCTTCGTGGGAATATTCTGGATTAAAGATACAAAGTGGATTTCGATGATTAATATTTGTTTTTTTGTCTCTATCCTGAAGTATAAAAGGCAACCTCGTTCTTAGATGTTGCAGAGCCGGTTGCGTATTCCACCGGAAAATGCGCCGGTCCTCCTGATTGATCTGTTCGCGTGTGCGCGTGGAGCCGTCCTCGTTCATAGCCTCGTTTGTGAAGGGAAACCGTCGTCCAGATGGCCTGCAATGCGGTGCCGTGCTGCCATTCATCCCACCCCGACAGCAGTGCTTCCGTAGCACGATCGGCGTGGGGGTCCATAATATGCCGTCTCTGCAGCCGCTCCCTCGAACGCGTCTATCTGGGCACCTGGCCGTCGAATAGTCGCTAAGGCAACGTGCACATGGAGTAGTGGCGTCTTAGGAAGAGCGCTAGGCGGTGTCACGCTGCTGCGAAGTCGTACAAGTGGCCAGCACGGTTCGTTTTGAGAGCAGACGTGGGCAATCTTTTGTAGTCGCCTTCCCTTTTTCGTATTGAATCTAAAAACTCATGGTCATTGTTGAAAATCCGTCATGCACTCCCGGTGTCCTAGCGTTCTTACTTTCGCATGTATATTGAAAAATGCTTCTTTATAATACTTTATTAATATTGATATTAATTATTACGCGTCTTGTGAAATGTCTTAACTTCATAAATATGGTAAAGTAAACACAACGCGAGAAAAGTCTTCTCGTTCAAAATTGTTGTACTCTATAAACATTTTTGACATTTTTTATAAATTTACCGACATATGTGTGATTTTTTTTGGCCTTCAGTATTTTTAGATTCATGTGGGCAAGTGGAGCATTTAAATTGGTTGCCTATGACAAGACCGTTTTTATGGTTAAGAGAAGATAAGTTACTGATTTAAGTGTTAGATCATTATATGGTAATCGGGATTTTAAAATCAGTTCTACTTAAAATATGTAAATAATAATAATTAATAATAATAATTAATAATAATAATAATATAAATAATAATAACAACAATCAACAAATAATACTAATTCAATATGGTATGGTAATTAACACCACTGAAGGATTACATTAAACTTAATGAAGAACAAATTAATGGCACAACAAATTTATTTGAAGAAAATCTCTATCTTTAATTTTGTTTGTTGAGGAAGACTTTGAATAAAATTCAAAACTTTTGAAATTTTTCGAAAATTCTGAGTTACCGTAAAATTGCACCTATGACTTGGCGTCATTCACATTTTTACTTTCGTAATGATATTGATAATTTTGTTCTGAAGTGCATTAGTTTTTGAGAATCGTTTCTCGTTACTGGACATGTAGATTCATGTGGTGTTTTTTGGTGGACAAATGAATAAAGATTGCAATACATCTGCATAACCTACTAAGAATTTAAAG